GGAAATCTAATGTATAATAAGCATGGGAAGAAATGTGCAAACTCATTAGTAGTCACAGAAATGCAAATTAAACCAACAAGATTTCACTTTACACCTTTAGACTGGCTAAAAATAAACAACTAAAATTAGGCACTACATAGAAACCCAGTTTCCGCAATTCTGGTATTAACTATCAGTGTTAAATGAAAAATCACTCTACTTTGGAGATAAAAACTCAGGAAGTAGCAAAATATATTAAATGTATTTAAATTCAGTCAGCATCTTATTACCAGAGCTATTCAGCAATCATTTGCTAAACTGAATATTCTGCTCTGAGTACACGAGCATTCACAACTTCCATTAAACAAATAAATATAGCTAAGTATTCACATTGGCTAGTTTGTGTTTGCATGTCTGCGTGGTGTTTTAGACAGGGTCTTACTATGTCACTTACTATGGTCCTCCTGCCTTCGCCTCCAGAGCAGCTGGGACTATATAGATGCACGCAGCACACCTGGCCTTACACTGGTTAATTTCCTGGTCCTTTTCCTGTGGATGGGGGCAGTGAGAGATCCCCCCCATGGGGGATGGTCATGCTATAATCCCTTCTCTTCCATCTCCCCTCTTTCAGGATTTTAGGCATGCACATACACCTGGAGTGGTTTTGTTGTTGTTGTTGTTGTTGTTGGTTTTTTTTGGAGAGATTTTCACTGTAGGGCGCGTGCGCTCGCCAGACAGACAGAGAGAGACATAGAGACAGAAAGCGAGAAATCACCCCCCAGGGGGGATGGTCACGCCGCAATCCCTTCTCCTCCATTCTCCTCTCGGGATCTTGGGCACGCACGCACACGCGCCCGGCATGAGTTTTAAGCCACCGGGTCCGGGACACGAACAGCGGTCGACTACGTGGGAGTCCAGCGACATAGCCATTACGCTAACTGCTGGTTCCCCACCTGGAGTGTTTTTCAAGCCTCTGATTCTGGGACTCAAATCATGAGCCAGCCACTTGGGATCCAGTCACCTTAACCACCACACCAATGGCTGGCCCCCAATTTGGTGAATTTTCTGAATTCACGTGTTTAAAGATCAGAAAATTAGCCAGAAGAAATTTAAACACTTACTGCTAATCCAGACAAAAAATTTTACTTAAAACTGTGTCAGACTTTCTTATAAAGGATTTTAAAATATAAGACTGCAATTTCTAAAAACATTTATTTTATTCTCAGCTGAACTAAAAGCATGTATGTGCATACATACATGCATCACTAGAGATAAATGGAGGTGGAATTACATTTCTTATGGTCCTTGTAAAATGTTATAGTAAGGTATGCTAACGAAGACATATACACATATATTACTTACAACTTCCAAGCGAGCTGTTCCTCTCTCTCCTCCTCTGTTCATGGCACCATGATACAAATGATTACATCATGTGTATGGCCCACAGCAAAAACACCAGCAGCCCCCTTCATGTCTCTGTATGCCATCATGATGAACAGTAACTAATTTGGATTGTTTCCCCCTTTGCCGTAATGTTTGCATCAACTCTCTCCTTTTTTTTTTTTTTGGAGAGGTTTTTGCTATAGGGCACATGCGCTCACCAGACAGAGAGACAGAAAGCAAGAAATCACCCCCTCCCCCAGGGGGGATGGCCATGCCGCAATCCCTTCTCCTCCATTCTCCCCTCAGGATCTTGGGTGCCAGGCATGAGTTTTAAGCCACCGGGTCTGGGACTCAAACCGTGGTCAGCTACATGGGAGTCCAACGACATAGCCATTACACTAACTGCTGGTCCCAACTCTCTCCTTTTCAACCCATTGCCATTACTCCAGTTCAGATTCTGGCTCCAAGTGTGGTACTCATCTATATTCCACTATACAACAGATTTTCCTACTGAACTGCTCTGACCTTTGCCAACCCCATTGAAAACCATCCACTTGTTTCCATGGCCTGTGGGATTAAAAATCCAAATGTTCCAGCTGGTCTTCCAAGACCCTCTAGGATCTGGCTCTGTCTTTCCAGCTGACTTTCCTGCTATACTCTTATGTATATAATAGTGCTTTGGCTCGACTTGAATAGTTGCTTAAAACCCTACCATGACAGAGTGGATGAGATACTACACAAGAAAGCTATAGGCTGAATGCACACACAACAAAAGCAACAACGAAACTGAACTCAAGATAACACAAGAAAACCAAAATAGTAAATGGGGGGGAAAATGAGAAAATAGACTATTTCCCACAAGTATTTGATGACTGTCTCATTAGTGCCACAGGACACACCCAGACACATGGGAACAGGAGTTTCCTCTCTAGGCAGGGGATGCCAGTCTCTATGGAAAGGTGAGGAAGGAGCCTTTGAACTGGAAAGAGAAGGCTCTCATCGCTGGGACGAGATTCAACAAGAAGGGAAGTCCCTCGTGGAGGGTCCCAGTGCAGGCACAGCGGTGGCAGTGTACCATCCGCACACAGGGAGTGGGCCAGAAGTGAGTGCACCGCAGCCTGTTACTCACTGTGAGGCTGCCAGTCTCTTACACGGCTGAGGAAGAAGAAGCCTGAGGCCACTCCC